TTTGAACATATACATACTTGTCTGACCTAGTCCTGTGGACCAAGAATCAGATCCCTGAACTTGCGAAACTTCTCACCTTGCAATGGCTTAGTCATAAAATCCGCAATCATATTGTCAGTTGGACAGTGTTCGATCTTAACATTTCCTTTCTCAACTTGATCTGTGATAAAGAAATAACGAATATTGATAGCTTGGCTTCTTTTGCCCGGATGATGGGTATACCAGTTGAAGGTCCTGTTTTCATCTATGGAGACAACCAGTCAGTCTTGGCGAACACTACCATTCCAGAATCTCAATTGAAGAAAAAGTCGCAAAGCATCGCATATCACTTTATCTGTGAGGGAGTTGCCAGAGATGAGTGGAGAACTGCGCACGTTAGCACTCATGACAATGAATCTGATCTGTTCACAAAGTTGCTGCCTTCTGGTCCAAAGCAGGAAGGCTTTGTACGCCGATTCCTGCATCATATCTTCAGAAGTAAAGGCTGAGAGTCAATGTCAAAGACTGAGAGCCAACGTGAGAGTCAATGTCAAAGACTGAGCGGCACTGTGACATTTTGCATTCTTGAGTGGATTGATCGATGGAAGACCCCCCATTTTTCTTTTTATACTGGACGAGGAGTAGAATGCCCCATATCGAACCTACCAGAAGAGATGGTACTACCAATTGTTACATGTCAGTGGCTGAATAACACCTGCTCTACCCCGTCGTTTGTTGATATCCAAAATGGATTAAGCAATGCAAGTCGTCCGCCTTCAAGGTAATGCGAACAACTTGAGAGGAGTGTTTTGATGTCAGGCATGTCGTAGATGTCACATGATGAGTCAGAGACACAAGCAGATGTCCAGCTTGTTCTCTATCATGCACGGCCAATAAGTAATGTATATATTGGCGAGGAACGAGTTCAACATGCGAACACGTTCACGATCCGTTTGGATAAACATGCAATTATCCACATCACAATTCAAAGGAGTCCGACAACGATTCACAACAACAATACAATATACCATCTTCACTTTACACACGTATTCAATTCAATAAATCTTATTATTCTACCTACGAGGATATGAATGAAATCCAACCATTTCCAAAAACTCTCAGTCGTTCCTCGTTGCACCAATATTCAATACCGCATTTTTTTTCATTCACTATCACTGCGCTTTCATTTTGACTGATTGCTGACTCCATCGTACACAAATGACGCAGCAACACGTTCAGGTGCACCCTCCGAGAGGAAAAGAATCCCGAATTTCTGCGGTGGAGGTTTCCAATGTGCAAAGCCGCTTATTGGAGATTGAGATGCTTCTTGGGCTTAGCTCGATACGGAACAAAGCTAACAAATGGAGGAAAATTGGATCCCAACAAATAGTTTTGGACAGTGAGATCCCGGACGACATCATTCCGTTCCAACTCCCCAAGGATGTCTACTCGATTGTGGCAACTTGTGGCGCTTCATCACCATCATTTTGGATTGCGTTGCTAGTCATATTTGGTCTCCAAATTTCGCTGCTTGTGCTCCTGCTCCTTGATCAAATCGGACTTGAAGATGATAACGTGTTGGGTACACCAGCCAATGTTGAAGTAATTGTTCGCGCTGCTCAAGTACTCGCACTAGTGATTGCCTTATTCAGCCAAAGTGATCTTCGGCAAGGTGTAGAGGGAATTTCAGAAGGATTGCCAGGCATCTATCAAGGCAATGACAGCTTTCAAACCATGGGTCCAGCGCGATGGCATTTTGCTTATGCCATTCGGTTTCTTCAAGGGTTTGTCAACTTGTTTGCATCATTTGTCTTGCTGCTTCAGGCTGAGACTGTGTTCGACGTATTGTAAGTTACAACGACATTGACAGTATTTTTGTTTTGTCGTCAGTCAAATTGAGTGTCATACTAACTTGTTGCATGCGGTATAGGCTGAATTTCCTGGGCGTCCAGTTCATATCGGTACGTTCGTACTTGACTACTAATCTGGTCACTACCCCATTAATAAGTGTGGAACTAACGTGTTACTTTCTGGCAGGATCTTGACGATCTGGCATTTGATCTGGGTGGAAAAGGGTACTTTGGATACTCGGCGCAACAGGTTATCCATAACATTATGCAAGCAAGATTCCTTCGAGATTCTACAACTCACAAATGTCGTACTTACGCACACGTGATTGGCATCTTTGCCGTGTTGGTTGTCATGGTCGGTATCTTCCCAAACCTGGCCATTCAACAAGACCAAGGTGTTTTTGCAATTGAGACTGTGACAGCTGAATTTGGCGACGAGGTGATCTCGTTCATGGGTCTCTTCAATGGTTGCTACAGAGCCAGAAAGGAAGGTCCGGCCCTGAATAGGCGACTGGTCTATAAACAGATTGGATCAGAGGTAAATGGTGGCAAATTTGGATATTGCGATAACCTCGAAGAGGCGTCATCTGAGGGCTGGGTGTTCTTTCAAGGCGACTCAGTGGAGGATGCGTGCGAGACGTACATTCTCCGGTCTGACAAAACCAACACATTTGACTTACTGGATGCAGCGGCCACCCAATGGTATACAAAAGGTGGTCAGCTTGTTGATTACCTGCAGGTGTCGCAGGTTCCAGAGGATTCAATGTCAAGAGAGTGTGGCTTGGGAATCTTTCGTCGAACCAATAATACCTGTGACCTACTAGAGCTACCCACAAGATTCGACAGTCTACAAGGTACTGGTTCGCGGCTGTTTGAGAAGCTAGACGTGACTTCAGTACAGGTTGGCGACTACCTTGATACAACACAATCCCACCCAATCTATCTCGGCAAGTCATCGTCGGAGATTATCCTATTCACCGGTCGTAGATGGGTGATGACTACGATAGATGAAGGGAGTGAAAAGTTTTCAAGCATCAGAGATGGCTCAAAGTGGAACCATACTGCAGTACTTGATTACTTTTACAATCAAGGCTTTCCGGCAATGGAACAAAGCAAACTTAAAAGTCGTGAATGGGTCTTGGCCATTAGCGAAATTGTTGATACCACTACTGATCCTGGAACACCATTGGCCTTACAGTGGTACAATGTGCGATACGAATCAAACACGGGCCGCAGTTTCCCATTTGCAGACCTCACACGACCCCAAGAGGCCAAACTGGGCTGTGCACGGTGTGATGATGAGTTTGTTTGTTGTGCAAATGAAGGCGTTTGCGTTAACGGGGTTTGCGAATGCCAAAATCGTGCTACTGGAGTACTCTGCGAGGACGCTCCATTGGGAGACGGGCTTTGCGACGATTATTTCAACACAGCCAATTTTGATTACGATGGCGGGGATTGCTGTGGAAGCACATGTACCGGAGCACTATGTGGGCGAGGTGGTCTGAGTGTCGCTTTTGGTGTCGATCTGAGAGACAATACTTTCTTAAGCCAGCACCTGAAAGATGAAACTGTTATTGGATTTGAAAACTGCTTTGATCTTGAAATGGAGACGTTTACAATTGAATTGGTTCCTGTCGACGTACCCCTTGACGAGATTCCCATGACGGCTGGACGAAACTGTGGTCTCGAATCCGTGACAGTAATTTGCGATGGTGTCCTATATCTTCGAACCCCCAACCTGTACATGGCTGAAAGTATTGACGAGGGGGTGGAAAACTGCCACGAAGATGCTCCTATGATTCAGCCAATTCACTTGCCGGCCGGAGTGAACTGTGAGTTGTCAAGACCGTTGGATGACTTTGAATGGTTTTATGATGCTTTACTTTTTCGAGGGAATACTACAGATTCAACCAGTATCCGGCAAGGAAACAACTCAGCAACTTCTCTATCATGGTTGGTACCAGCTGAATGCCTTGCTGAAGTTTTTACAGAATATTTGGGCGACGTCAATCGACTCTACGATACAAACTCTCCCGAAGGTGCTGCAATCCAACGCATGGCTTCCGATGGAACTTCAGCTCTGTTGTGTACTCTTGATCAAGATCTGGTTAAGGAGAGATACGCACTGACAATGCTCAATATCTCACTTGTCTTTGAGTCTCAAACTTCGCAAGAACACCAATGTTATGGATGGGGATCAGGGTCACTTGGGATTGATATCATCTGTAATGACGACGAAAAAGTTGTATCAATCGAAAATGCCAGACATTATATTGCGATGAAAGGAGGTACAATCCCGAGCGAGCTCTTTCTGCTGCCACATTTGTGTGAGTCTGACTTCAGTATGGTATGCTTCTGACACTTTCAATTCCTTGATACAGCGAACCTTGATCTTCCTAGCAATTATGATCTCTTTGGAACATTGCCAACAGAAATTGGTTTGCTTAATTCATCTTTGAGTAAGTACTGATGATGCCTGATCTCTATCAAATATTCATCAAGCGTATTGCTCACTGTTTTGCAACGTAGCACGTCTAAATCTGAATGCAACAGGAATTACGGCACCACTGCCAATAGAATTTTTTAAGCTTTCAACATTGGGTACGTGAAATGCCACACCATCTAAAGGAGTAACTGAATTCTCACTCTGTTTTTCCTCGTACACGATTATGCTCAAATGAAAGCATATCTTGATCTTGGGCTTTCTTTTGAGGGCACAATTCCTACTGAAATCGGAGTACGTTTGGTGAAAAATCGGTATTTCCCATGTTCTTGGTTCTCACAGTGTGATTTCTCTCTTTTAGTTGCTCTCCGAACTTACGCACCTGAACTTTGAGTCAGAATATCGGAATCAGATTGCCGTCAATGGAACGTTGCCTACAGAAATTGGGAAGCTTACGAAGCTCTGTGAGTCATATTTATATTTCACTTTAGCATCCCTTTGCACGAACCGCTAATGATTCATTTCTCTTGCTGCAGCGTATCTCAATCTGCGGTTCAATTCTTTGACTGGAACAATGCCGACGGAAATTGGTGTACGTTATGTTTTGAAAATCGGTATCACCCTTTGATGTTTGTTGGCTCTAACGGTCTGATTTTTTGGTCAATTAGCTGCTCTCCGAACTCGGGTACTTGAACCTTGAGGGTGGAGAATTGCGTAGCTGCAACTTATCTGGAAAGATTCCGACAGAAATTGGACTGCTCGATAGCCTAGTCGAACTGTCTTTGGGAAACAACAATCTCAGCGGAGTCGTACCTACTGAAATTGGTCTCTTGACCAATCTCACCACCTTGGATCTAGCTTCGACCGATCTAAGTGGAAGCATTCCAAGTGAAATCTGGGCGCTACCGAATCTTTCTAGGCCTGATTTTTCTGGAAGCGGTCTGTATGTTGATGTGACAGACCCAGACTTCTCTTGTGATGAAACGACTGTAGAACTTGTACTAATGGGAGAGAATTGGGCAGTTGAAGTGACATGGGAAATCACCACAGATGATGGCACTGTGGCTGCATCAGGTGGCGGTAGCTCCTTGTACCCGATCCGTTGGACTCCGTACCTCGAAAAGATTTGTGTTCCATCGGATGCTTGCACCTTTACCCTTTTGGACCAAGGCGGCGAGATTGTTAAAATCATACGATTGGGGGTATTCCACCAGTTCAATCCGATGTTTACAGAGAGGGGGGCTTCCATGGATATATGTACATAATGCTGTAGCAATGCACTTGTGATGCCATTCATTGGAAACGTGGCGTACCTTGAATGAATCTCTTGGATCAGGAAGTCACAAAGCATGATTGCGTCGACCTTCCGCGCAGTTCCGTTGAACAAAATGTAAATGCATACTTTATACATAGATCAACTTCTGATGGTCTTCGTTTCACTGTTCCCATTCTTTCAATTCGAACAGCTCAACATCTTTACTTTACCAGTAAAACGATGCCATCTTGCGAATACCACACCCTCTGTAGGAGTAAACGAATGCTCAGTTGCCTCCATGTCAATTAATTTCTTGAACTTGCACAGTCATCTCTTACATCATTTGCTGCTGAATTTGGGGTGCGTTTGGTATTCCCTCCCAATGTTGTTGGTTATTCTCATGGTTAGACCCTCAAGAGTCGCGGCCACAATCTTCACCTTTTCTTTGGAATTGAAAATCTCTGCTCTGAGCTTCAATGATTCAATGAAAAATTCGGCAGGAAGCTCCACGTCTTTGCCATTTGTCTGGATCAATAATTTCAGAGCCTCCGCCTCTGATTCTTCTCTGATACATTGGACCGTTTTGGCATTCTCCACCTTCATTTCGCTCTTGATTGCCGCCAATTCAGCTTGGAGTTTTTGTCAGCTTCGACTTGAGCGTCTTCTGCTGTGGTCTGTTGGATTTTCCCGACGGTGTCATCGTAGTTTGTCCTTTTTGGGCGGCCGCTTTTGTGTGGTGTGACAGTAGGCATGCAGTATTCGAGGCCGTTGATTGAAGATGTAGCAACAGTGTGGGCTTGGCATTGTTTGTCTTCTGGCAAATCAGGCTGAGGAGGAGCTTTACAACGTTTACACAAGTCACAGGCCGTACACCACTGCTTTCCACTTGCATGGGTACAAAGGTACACTCTTTTTTTCTTGTGATGGGACCGTGGAGGTGTCTCCTTGGCGTTCCTCTTTCCACGTCGCGTTGCCATCGTGAATGATGATGACGATTCATTCAATTATCCTCCCGCAGTCAAAAATTGTCTTCAAGCATAGGGCTCATATCCTCAGCCCAATGCGCTTCTATCTGTCCAATCGGCGTCATTATGCGACCTCTTCTAAAAATGACCATTTTGGATCTCTATGGTGCTATTTTTTGGAAAATGCCAAAATTTGGGTGCGGGAAGTTTCTGGTAGTTGGGGGAACAGAGGATCCATCTATGTAGATTTTATACTAGTTGACAGCGCCCACGGCGGAGTCAGTTCTCCGCCTACGGCGGAGGTTAGGGGGCGCCCCGCAGGCGGGGCGTTTTGGGGGCATTTTTTCGGATCAGGTCATATTCTCTACGATCAATACGACTACCTTTATTTGTCATCGACACGATCGTGCCGTTCGAATCGGACACTCCTCTTCTCAGCTTTTCTGGTGTAGGAGACTTGAGTACTGCTGTTTTTTTAGGTCTCGCATTTTCTCACTAACCACCCCAGGCAGTGCCTAAACATTCCAAAATGTGACTTTTCGCAGCATACAGTATTCTCTCTTTTCCTCGGCAGTTCCCGCATTCTCAGCCAAGGAGTATTTCTCGTGGTGGCACATCCCCTGGAGTCTCAACTTCCGGTTCGGGAAACAAATAGCGATTATGCGGATTCTGCAACACCATACGGAATATTTCGTCTCGCCTCTCATCTTCATCCATAAAATCGAGATTCGAACTAGCAAAGCCCAATTGCATTTGCTTCTTTGCACCAGAGTTTCGTTCTCGTTTGTTTTGTCGATCCGTCGTATTTGCAGCTTCTGCTGCGCCACTGGTAGTATTCTTTGAATCACGTTCAACATCATCTATATCGCTACTGCTAACGTTGTCGCTACCGCCTTCGGGGCTCCTACCACCCTGATCAGATTGCCCTTCTTCCTGGATGCTCTCAAGAGCACCGAAAATACTATCCCAAGATCCTCTTCTAAGGAAGGACTCTGGCAAGAAAGAGTTATTTGGCTCATCTAAGAAATGCGCGATAAGGTATTTTGCTTCCGATTGTAGCGCAGAGTACGTCATAAGTTCAGGGGTAGATTCCTTGAACCAATAAAAGTACCAACGATCGCATAGATCTGTCATCAACGTCAGAACACCAGTATTTGGATTCAATTGAGATGCAGCAAGGTGCTGCAGAACAACCTGCCTATGGATCTTTTCGTGTGCTTTGTTTCCAGTCTTTTTCAACTCAATGCCCATTAAAATATGATTTCTCGCAGCTTGAATGAGCTTGTGCCTCGCGTCGACAACAATAACGTCCACATTTCCTTTCAGTTCCAGCTGAGCGAAAGAGAACCATGCGCGTAGAAGATCATTCGATTCGGAGCCGTCAAATGTCGTAACCGAATTCGGCAACTCGAGATGTGTTTTGAGATGCGCCATATACTTATCGCGATTTAGTTTGCTATCTTCTTTTGTTGAATCCCATTCGAAGTTCACACCGGACAAATCCAACTTCGGCTTGTTCTTCCAATCGGCTGTATTCATTTTTATTTTCATGCAGCCCATGACCTGATTGTATCTTTTAGAAGTCACTTTTGAAAACGCAACAGCGCTTTCGTCGTCAATCGTGACTTTAAGAAGAGATGTCGCTTCTCTCACGGTTTGAGTCAGTTCTTGTACCACTAATTGAAGATTCGAACGTAATGATGAGAACGTTGAAGTACATTATATGAGCAGAGGACAATATCGACGGAAGAAAATGAAACAAATATCGTGAAACGATTATCATGCTTACTTTGATGCACGCTTGCCATATCATACGAATTGTTTGCTGCCGGAAGTAGTGGCGTGGGCGAGGATACAACCACAAGGAGAGGCAACGCTGTGGATGTTCCCTGAATTCGCTCGTCATCTAGTGAAACATCAATCGCGAGGGGTTGCTCGTTTGGATAGTTTGCCGCTGTTGTGCCCTTTGCATAAAGACGAAGGTCTTCCGCGTCATGGTTTTGTAAAAGTCGGCTACGATTCTTGTGTATGGCATTCTGGAGGTTGGCCAGAATACTCAAAGACTTATCATTCTTTCGACGCTGGATTACAGCTACGTCAGTGAGCGACTGCCCCGGAGTATGGAGCTGATAGAAAATATGCTGGTACTCCTCATTATCGTCTCCCATCTTGAGTTGATGATGTCAATCTATTGCACAGCAATGAAGAATCATGCCTCGCGCGGTGGTCGATTGCTTCGACTCGAGGAATTTTCTCAGTGTATGGGACCAAGATCAATATGTAATACATAAAAGTGTACGGCAGGACCCCCCGCAACTCGTCTGTCGACCAACCGTTTCTGGATTTCCAAACTCCGACTTCTTTGATTACTAAATAGTTTTCAATACACCCCTGAGTCGGGGCATGGCTGTGGCAAAAACATTGTTTTGA